GCAGCCATCCCACACCAGCTCCAAGGCAAAAAACTGAAGGATCACATGACCTCCGATTGCTCAGTTCTTTGCCTCAAATGGAGGACCAGGCTAGGGAAGGGGTAGGCATGGCTGCCTTTGTCTCTCAGCACTAAAAATCAGAACCAGCTTTAAATCAAGCAGCTAGGTGGGTCCCTCCAATGTATATGGACACTATTTCCACCATAGTACAACATTTTGGCACCTTCTATCACTCTGTTCCTGTGGTTTGCATTCTCTGCACACGGGTCATTTTATTTTTGTCTAATAGGTTTCTTCACTTGTTCCTGGTGGGTAATAGGCTTTTTAATCCCATGCATGTATTTATAGGTGCTGTTCCTCGGTTTTCCCATTGGGGTGCCATGTTGTTTTCCCACAATTCCCGTGCCAGACACCTGCTAACGTTTGCCATTTGCCGATGTTATCTTAGAGTGTTTGTATAGCTGACTTGAAAGTATTAGACATCTATATGTATAAATATCTCCACCCTGTGAGATTGTCATGAAACGCGTTAAACTAAAAGATGTATCCTATATTATGTTTTGTTAAAAACTTGGAAGAATGGAATGTATACATGTATTATTATCTGAAAATTATGTAGAGTGTATGGTGTGGCTCTGCCCCGTCAGTTGATTGCATGCAATGGCACACTTTCAGCTGACTATGGGTCACAAAAGAACAAAAGTAAGTGACCCTAAAGAGAAGTATGGCCAAAAAAAATTATGGTTTTGCCCATACTTCTCTTTTAACACTGTAATGATCAGATTAGAATATTTGAAAATAATAATAAGTGACTTAAAACATAGGAAAAAAGTTCAATGCATCTGTCATCCTATAATTATATTATTAAAAAACAGACTTTGTATTCAAACAATATACCAAATAAAATGTTGTTGATAAATTTGTCCTGGGCATTTTGGCATCAAAGGGATAAATTATTATTTTATGAAAGTGTTTACTGGGTTCTGAACCTGCTTTCTGACTTTGGCTTCCACTTGCATGCCAACCTCAACTTGTTCAACTACTCTCTGCCTCCTGACTTGGATTATCACCCCTCTGTGTATGACCCAACCCACTTCCAACTATGCTCCATGTGTACTGACTTAGTGCTATTTACTTACAACCTTGGCCTACACAACTATTTGTTTGCCTCTCTATGGTGTTTGCTCACCTCTCCATGGCTGTCACCTGAATCCACTCCTTTGCATTGCCTGCTGTCCCTGCTGTGTGCACTATCCAGAGTCTGTCCATGCTTCAGCTTTACCACCTCTGCTCCTGTCATCAGCTTGCATGCTATCACCAGTGAATTCCTCACTGCCCAGCAGCCAGCTCATGCGTCTGACCCTATGACAGTACTACCACCTCTGCTTCTGTCATCAGCTGGCATTCTATCACCAGTGGATGTCTTCCTGCCCAGCAGCCAGCTCATGCATCTGACTCCTTGACAGTATTACCACCTCTGCTCCTGTCATCAGTTGATGTGTTATCACCAGTGGATGTCTCTCTGCCCAGCAGCCAGCTCATCCATCTGACTCCATGACGGTATTACCGCCTCTGCTCCTTTCATCAGACCCTGTTATCATCAGTGAACCGCTTCTCTGCCCAGCTGGCAGCTCATGGTATCTGCTAATCTGCATTTAATCTTTACAGATTACATTGACTGTGCTGTGATATTTATCCTGGTTATCACTGGTGCTTCAAATGTAATCTAATGTAAGAATTGCCTTTTAAAATTACCTTTGCCTTGTATAAGATAAACCTTTCACCAACTTGTGCAATTCAGACTGAAAAATGCATATGTTACCTTCAGTAGAAAATGCACTTTAAATTTTCAGAAGAATATATAGACAATTTAAGTTATAGATAAATCTTGACTTTCCCTGTAAATGTCAAGCTTGTCTCCACCCCATTCAAACCCCTATTGGTCGATAAGACCACTCATCACATGAAAAGATCAATAGAGAGTTTCTGGTGGCAGGCCGGGCAACTGAGTTCAAAGTAAGATTTGAACATAACTTTGGCTGCGTATCTCTGCATCTGTTTTTCATTTTGACATGCAACTTTCACCAAAGGCACACCCTGCTAAAAAACTATCCAGGTTTTGCCCAATAAAAGGTTTATAAAGAGTGCTGTAAGTCATTTACACTATTGCCCAATGTATGCCCAATGTATTTTGTTGCTAAATAAAGCATCTAGTTTGGATGCACTACCTTCTTGCGCTCCCTTACTGTTTCACAAATATGGCTTATGTCTTTCTTTGTTGTAAATTATCCATGTCAGGTTTTTAATGGTTCTTCTATCTGAAAGTAACAAACAACTATGCCTGCGTTTGGGTTTCAGGACTGTGTTTATAGGCCAGACAAATACCGTATTTGCCGGCGTATAAGACGACTTTTCAACCCCTGAAAATCTTCTGAAAAGTCGGGGGTCGTCTTATACGCGGGTATACGGCGAGCCGGTGTGTCAGGGCGGCACTTTTTCCAGGGGCGGTGTCCTCCAACGGACACTAAGTACAGGGGTGGGCAGAGGGGCTGCTGTACCTTACCTGGCTCCGGTCCCGGTCCCACGATGATCCGGTCCAGGAAGCGCGGCTGCTCCTTCTTTCAGTTCGGCTGCGCGATGGTCGCGCGGCCCGCTCGGCTCCGCCTCCTCACCGGTGATTGGGCGCCAGCGCACACAGGCGACCAATCACCGGCGAGGAGGCGGAGCCGAACGGCTCCGCGAAAATCAAGCTGCCGAACTGAAAGAAGGAGCAGCCGCTCCTCTCCCCCACTGACACTAACGATGGGGCACTATTCCTCCTCCACACTGACACCAATGATGGGGCACTATTCTCCCCACTGACACCAATGATGGGGCACTATTCCTCCCCCACTGACACCAATGATGGGGCACTATTCCTCCCCCACTGACACCAACGATGGGGCACTATTCCTCCCCCAATGACACCAACGATGGGGCACTATTCCTCCCCCACTGACACCAACGATGGGGCACTATTCCTCCCCCACTGACACCAATGATGGGGCACTATTCCTCCCCCACTGACACCAATGATGGGGCACTATTCCTCCCCCACTGACACCAATGATGGGGCACTTTTCTCCCCACTGATACCAATGATGGGGCACTATTCTCCCCACTGACACCAATGATGGGGCACTATTCCTCCTCCCCACTGACACCAACGATGGGGCACTATTCCTCCTCCCCACTGACACCAACGATGGGGCACTATTCCTCCCACTGACTAATGATGGGGCGCTATTCCTCCCACTGATACCAATGATGGGGTGCTATTCCTCCCACTGACACCAATGATGGGGCATGATTCCTCCCACTGATACAAATGATGAGGCACTATTCCTCCCACTGACACTAATGATGGGGCACTATTTCATCCACTGACACCAATGATGGGGCACTATTCCTCCCACTGACACTAATGATGGGACACTATTCCTCACACACTGACACTACTGATGGGACACCATTAGTGTCAGTGGGAGGAGTAGTGCCTCATCATTGGTATCAGTGGGAGGAATCATGCCCCATCATTGGTGTCAGTGGGAGGAATAGCACCCCATCATTGGAATACCATACTGAAATACCATACCATATTGAAATCAAATCTGATGTTTTTTCATTTTTATTTGGTGTGCGTTGGAAGAGGGGTAGTCTTATACGGCGAGTATAGCTCAAACCCTATATTTTAACAGGAAAAGTAGGGGGTCGTCTTATACGCCCAGTCGTCTTATACGCCGGCAAATACGGTACTTTGCTTTTCTTGTAAAATGCATGTTTAAAGCAAGTTTTAATTTTCTTTTTTTTTTTGGCAATAAGATAACCTCTATACTATGCCAAAACAAAAAGAAATCATTTCTCTTTTGTTACCTTTCAGTTCACCAATTTAAAATTGAGTTCTAAACCTTAATGCATAATTTAGAGAAAAAAGTAAACATAGGAGTAAGGGTCGTTCATTTTGAAAAGTGTATGTTTACTTTGTCAATAAATAAGGTGAACTTATTTCACCAGATTGAACACTTAGTAAATAAGTGTTCATTCTGAATACCCAATGGTATGGTAGAAAGAAAAAATTTAATTTTTGCTAGTACATGTTTGGTTGACTGAAGTCAACACAACTTCACCTTATATACCAAGTTCAATGAACATTCATTTTATTAAGTGAAAATTCTCTATTTCTGTAAAGAATCAACATGTCTCATGTACCCATGTACCCAATCCATTCATCCACTTTAAGACAAGGCTAATTATTGCAGAGATCCAATCTTGCTATAAAGCAAATGGATACTATACAAGGTACAAAGTATAACACAGAATATATCAATGGTATATATAATACTAATATAAAGAGCAACTCCATCCAAAACATATTTCTATGCTGCCTGTGGAACGGAGCAGCGTCCAATCTGCTCCACCTACCTATATAATTTCAATTGCTGGTTTAAAATGTTATACAAAACCCATATAAAACCTACAATTAAAATAATCTTGGACTCATTTATCCAGTGTTAGTCCGGTGCTCCTTTCTGTATTTCTATGGTTTGAGCTAATGTTGGGTGCCCATCAAAGGATGCCTTACCATGTGGGAGCTGCCACGCTAGAGCTATTAAGATTGTTTGAAGTTTTCCTTCATCTATCTACACATACAATCTAAAATTCTAAAAATTCTAGCCAAAGAATACACTACTTTTGTGACCTGCACACTATAGTAAATTCTCCATATAAACAGTTGGTATCAGAAACAATGTGCTGTGAGTGGAGAGGGTTGTCTCTGACTAGCTATTAGACATTTGGAAAGTCCTGGCCTGGGAGCAAACCCCAGCGCTACTGAGCCTGAAAATGAGAAATGCATTTAGGTGGAGTTGCACTTTAATTTATACCATTACTGTAATAAAATACAAGCATTTACACTGTGCTAAAGTAACAATCTCGACTTGTTTAAAAGTTATTATTCTTACAAGTAGTTCGCAGTTATTCTTGAAGGCAAGTCTTGGAGTTTCCTTAGCATAGTGTTGCTGGGGAAAATTTTCACCATGTCCATCTTCATCTCTAGCCTGAAGGGAAATATAAGGGCCTATTTAGGGACTTGTGACAATAATACCTACATTAATAACAAACCAAAATCATAACAGCAAACATAAAATAAAACAGTAAATGAAAAATATGGTATGTCATACAGCTATAGGAAAATCACTCATACTTTGGTTAGACTGGACATGTCATCATCTTTTAAACATCAGAAAATAATTTATCGAGCATGCTGTGGGCTTACTTGAAAGCATAGAACAATGTGAACAAGGCTTGTGGGGACCTTAAAGCTATTCTGCAAAATTTCCAAAACAATGACAAATACATCCTGATAGGTTAGTTCTTCATGTGTCACTTTTTTAATAATTAGTCCCATGTGAAAAACAGAACAGTACATTTACATATATTTTTAGATTCTGCTCCCAAAAGCTTAATTTTGACTAAGGCAACTGTCAGCAAAGAGTTAACCTCATGCCGAAGAGCATTTAAAAATCCTATATGTAGTTCAATCTTTAGGGTCTGTGCATATGGGTGTCATACAGTATGTCCACCTTTAAAATTTAAAAAAATTGCAGATGAGAAAACAAAATACAGACCATCATTTTGATTTTGCTTTCAATATCACATGAGTATATAAAAAATGCAGTATAGTTAAAAAAAAAAAAAAAAACATTACACATACTAATAGTTCATTATTATGACATAGTGGTAACGTAAGTGGACATCTTTAGATATCTACATTTTATTTTGTTTAACATGCCTATTAAATATAAAATAAGGGAATAAGTTCAGGGCTGTAAGAAAACTATTTTTTTGTCATCATAACAGGCTAGACATGACAAGAAATGGTAAAATTGTAAAATATATAACCAGTGACATTTAATAAATACATATATACACTGGACTTAAGCAAAACACTTTAATATTTTTCAAGCCAAACCATGTTAATTCATCACATGGGTGTAATAACTACAGGTTTAAAACACATTTGCTATATCCAAGGATACCAATTTTGCAACTATATGTGTATGTTTATTAAAGTGCAACCTAGCCTGCCTTTACACATCATGGCTCTTCATGTATATAACCAGTGACATTTAATAAATACATATATACACTGGACTTAAGCAAAACACTTTAATATTTTTCAAGCCAAACCATGTTAATTCATCACATGGGTGTAATAACTACAGGTTTAAAACACATTTGCTAAATCCAAGGATACCAATTTTGCAACTATATGTGTATGTTTATTAAAGTGCAACCTAGCCTGCCTTTACGCATCACGGCTCTTCATGTATATAAGGCTCTCAGAGGAGAACCTGCTTATTAATAATTATACTTCTCTTCCCTGAGAAGATAAGTGAATGAAATAAGTGGTGAATAGCTGCAGTGTGTAGTAGAAATGAGATTTGATCCCATGATTTTGCAAGATCAGGGGCTCAAATACTCTTTAGTGAAAATAAAATTAAAAATTGACAAAGAAAGTGTTAGAAAATAAAATTGATGTTAATAAAATAAATACGTGAGAGAGCACATTCATAAATAATTGTCCTGAGTGTATTTATATAGACATAAATACATCTGTTACAAGTGTTGCTGAGATGTCTTCATATATATACAGTTATTAATGAATGGCCCTTCTCACATGGGTCCTTTATTAACTTGATATTATCTTAACAGGAGTATACTGGTGTCCAATGTGGAAATATACCCACACTATACCTGAAAGTCCCCCAGCTATTAGGGGCCCTGGGGGAGTATGCCCCTGTATATATATATATTTATATATATATATATATATATATATATATATATATATTATATATATACAGTGTTGTGCCCTGCCATGAAAGATGAAAGAATATACTGTATGTCACACAGGGTTCTGTGGTCCAGAGGCTTTGCAGAGTCTTGGGCGGGATCAAGCTTCCTACCTTTTGTCCACTTTTTATGAATGGTGCCTTTCACGTGGGTTCTTTATTAGCTTTATATTATATTAACAGAAGTATACTGGTGCCTAATGTGGAAATATCCCCACACTAGACACCAGGGACCTACAGCTATTGGTGGCCATGTTCAGTATACCCCTGTACATGTATAAATCTATCTCTCTCTCTCTATCTATCTATATACTCAGTGGCAGTGTGTGCCCTGCCATGGTAGATGAAAGAATATATGTCAGATAGGGTTCTGTAGTCTAGAGGCTTTGAAGAGTCTTGGGTGGGATCAAGCTTCCTACCTTTTTGTCCACTTTTTATGAATGGTCCCTTCACATAGGTCCTTTATTAGCTTTATATTATATTAACCAGTGTATACTGGTGCCTAATGTGGAAATATTCCCACACTAGAACCCAGGGTCTACAGCTATAGGTGGCCATGGGTAGTATACTCCTGTATATATACATGTGTAAATCGAATCTATCTATCTATCTATCTATCTATCTATCTATCTATCTATCTATCTACCTACCTATCTATCTATCTATCTACCTACCTACCTATCTATCTATCTATTTATCTATCTATTTATATTCACAGTGGCAGTGCTGTGCCCTGCCGTGGTAGATGAAAGAATATATGTCACACAGGGTTCTGTAGTCCAGAGGCTTTGAAGAGTCTTTGGAGGGATCAAGCCTCTTACCTTTTGTGCACTTTGTACTGGAGACTTGCAGTCTGATGGTGCAGATTTGCACAGCTTTGGAGACAAGCTGCTGAATGAGCAGAGTCTGTGTGTAGAGACAGACATTCGAGAATGTCTACCTTGGTCTCAAGGGGAGGTGGCCAGATCCGACCAGGCTGTCACCTGAGAGATCTTAGGAGACCATGTGCAATTAGGCAGGAACCTTTGCAGCTAGAAAGCTGGAAGATTTATGTTTTGATGCTGAAAACCCCTGTGACGATAATGCAGTACACTATTTTTTAACATTTCTTTTAAATAAAAAAGTGGGCCACAAGCCCTGAAAATGTACTTCCCTGGCTGGTCTGAATTGGATGAAAAGAACTACAGTTGAGTGAAACCTCCACAATATGGAATATACAGTATACAATCTGTTCTACATTTTACATGGGCTGCTGAGGAGTGGCAAGGGAAGCAAGGGATAGAATTCTGCTACTTCCTCTTCACATCATGATATTATCCCTCTTCTTTCCCTGAGGTGGAGAAGTAGGGAGTGCAAAAATGTACACAAGAAGCCAGTCAGGTGCTTACATTGCACCTTATTAAACTGCACATTTGCATAGGAATTACTGGCAGCTTCACACTGAGCTGCGATGAAAAGCAGAGAAAACCATCTCCACTCTAACTCACAGCTTATTAAACTGCTGCACTGTGGAGATAAGCTGCAATAGACTTATCTCAATTTAATAAATGGACACCCTAATCTCTTACTTCTGTCTCTCCAGTTGCTATGAAAGCTGTCGCCACAGACTTAGGCCTGTGTAAACATTGCTCTTTTTCCATGCAGTTTGTTTGCAGTCTACATTGTAAAAGCAGGCATGGAAAGAAGTCAAGGAAGGCACTTGCTACAATCCACTTGCTATTGTATTTAGTGCCAACAGTCATAACTAATGATTCCAATGTTGCAATGCAATCACTTGAGACCACATTGACATCATGAATCATCATGAATCATGAATCACACTTAATGCTAGGATTGACGGGGACAATAATCACACCTTCAGTGTAGGCATCTTCTTTTATGTCTCCTGGCAATGAAGACATTACACCAACATTGAGGAGAGAATGTCTTCCTTGCTCTCATTCCTTGTTTGCAGTTACAGATGCAGAAAAAAATTTATAGAAAGCAATAATTACACTTTCCTGGCCTGTGATTGCAGTTATCACAACATAGGTAAAAGGTTACATGTGCAAACCTGCTTGTTATCCCTTTATAATTGCTTTAAAGCATTTTTTGAATATTTCCCCCAGCCTGTGTTAAAAAAATAAGTTGAGCTGCCATACTCTCCTTCAGTTCATATTTGTCCTCCACAGTAATCTGTTTCCCACACGATGTCGTCAGCCTGCTGGGTTAAATAATGCCCAGTGTTACTCAATCCAGAAGTCTGAGGACACTCTGAGTGTGGGACGGCATGGACTTGCCCCCTGATGGAGCATCACAGGACTCTCTGCATTCACTGTGTAACTTCTTCAGACAGCAGCCTGACATCATCTCCCCAGTGCCACACTCTGCATCATTGGGAACTGCTAATCCTGGAGAAGAAGCAAATAGTAGTGGAAATCTGCAGCATCATGTGACCAACCTGAAGACTTCAGGAAAGCTAAGTAAAAAGAAAAAATAGTTACCATACTGCTTGGGGGACCTTTAATGGGAGGAGGAGGACAAACGAGGACCCAAGAATTGGGCTGTACAAGGAACTGGGAATGTTATATCTAACAGGGTCATTTCTCTACCTGTGGTCATTCCTTATATTCATGCTCCAGGCAGTGTCACCCTGGTATCTGGCGATGTACAATGGAAACATGTCACCCACTTATTATAAAACTTATCATACTGTTTTTCGATAAAGATGAACCCACCTCTCTGCAGTCGGAATTTCATTGACCTTAAGGGTCCACTCTTGGATTGAAGGGATCCAGTTTTATGAGATTTGGTAAAGAATCACTTTACAATTACTAGCAAATGGTCTGCTGTCTCAGTACAACAAATTCTCTGTTATTATTCCTACTTTAAAATGGGTCCGGATCTAGCCTGTCTGATGCGGGGATGCAGTAAAAAATGTCAGAGGGGCAGAGGATACAAGGTTGTCAGGGCAGTGTACAGGGGGTCAGCGGGTGTCAGGGCAGGAACGCTGGAATGGGCAGGCAGGCCTATGGTACGGTCACGCTGCGACTGACGACAGCCACTACCCACAGACCAGAGTCCCTCAGGGCGCGGAGTCTAAGCCCCAGGCTACCCTTCACCAGGGCCCCTGATGGTGGGGATGGACTTGACGCAGCCTGAGACCAGGTCGCGGCCCCCGAGTGACCCCAGCTGCGATAACGACTGCCACCAATGGCGTACAGCTG